GCAGGTCTGGCGCGGGACGTTGGCTCGCTGGAGGTTCAAGCGTCTGAGGGCCATCTACAAGATCATGAGCTGTTACAAGTGCTACAAAGTCCGCTCCCACCTGATGGAGGTGGTGAGGCGCTTCGAGAACGTGCGCAACATGGCGGACTACGGCAAGAGCGTGGAGTGGCCGCAGCCGCCGGCCGTGCTGGAGACATTCCAAGACCTCTGCCACAAGCTGTTCAAGAGGTAGGTAGCCGTGTGGTCCACATACCTGGCGTAACCCATCTAACATTCAGTAAGAGCTGTTAAAGTGCACCTGTCCTTAAAGTTCACAACTGGACCCGCACCACCCTTACCGGAGCGCAGTATTATCACGGGACGTGTCTCATACCACTTACTAAGTCATGTGACCTATAGCATTGAGGCTGTTTCACATCATTAGGGATTGTTTTTAATTAGACATGTCCTGTCTAGAGGGAGAAGATCATCGGCAAGTCCCACAGGGTTAGAGTTAGGCCCCTAGATATACTGTGTGTGTGTGTATATATATATACATACTATATTGCCAAAAGTATTGGCCCCTCCCCCTCCAAATCATGTGATTCAGGTGTTCCAATCCCCTCCATGGCCCCCGGTGCATAGGATGAGGCACCTCGGCATGCAGACGCTTCTACAGACATATATTGCCAAAAGTATTGGCCCCTCCCCCTCCAAATCATGTGATTCAGGTGTTCCAATCCCCTCCATGGCCCCCGGTGCATAGGATGAGGCACCTCGGCATGCAGACGCTTCTACAGACATCGGTGATAGAACGGGTCACTCTCAGGAGCTCGGTGACTACAAGCGTGGTGCCGTGATAGGTTGTCACCTGCGCAATAAGTCCATCCGTGACATTTCCTGGCTACTAAATATTCCGCCGCGGTCACCAGTTACTGGGATTATAACAAAGGGGAAGCAACTGGGAACAACAGCAACTCAGACAGGAAGTGGTCGGCCACGTCACATGACAGAGCGGGGTCAGCGCATGCTGAAGCGCACAGCGCGCAGAAGTCGCCAACTGTCTGCAGAGCCAATAGCTACAGACCTCCAAACTCCATGCGGCCTTCAGATTGGCACAACAACAGCGCGTAGAGAGCTTCATGGAATGGGTTTCCATGGCCGAGCAGCTGCATCCAAGCCGCACATCACCAAGTGCAATGCAAAGCGTGGGATGC